TTCTCCAGGAGATCTTCCCGAATCAGGGATCAAACCTGAGTTTCCTGCTTGGCAGATGGATTCTTTACCACTGAGCCACCAGGGAAAGACCATAGCCTTGACTATATGGACTTTTGTTGGCAAAGTGATGTCTTTGCTTTTTAACACACTGTTTAGGTTTGTCAGAGGTTTCCTTCCAAGAAGCAAGCATCTTCTAAGTTCATGGCTGCAGTCACCATCCACAGTGATTTTAGAGCCCAAGAAGAGGAAATCTGTCACTGCTTCCACCTTTCTCCCTTCTATTTGCCATGAAGTGATGGGACTGGATGCCATGATCTTAGTTTTTTTAACACTGAGTTTTAAGTCAGCTTTTTCACTCTCCTCTTTCACCCTCATCGAGAGGCTCTTTAGTTCCTCTTCACCTTCTGCCATTAGAGTGGTATCACCTGCATATCTGAGGTTGCTGATATTTTTCCTGGCAATTTTGATTCCAGCCTGTAACTCATGCAGCCTGGCAGTTTGCATAATGCACTCTGCACGGAAGTTAAACAGGCAGGGTGACAACATGCTGCTTTGCTTTACTCCTTTCTCCATTCTGGACCAGTCAGCTGCTCCATGTTTGCTTCCAACTGTTCTTGACCCTCATACAGGTTTCTCAGGAGACAGGTAAGATGGTCTCATATTATCATCTCTTAAAGAGTTTTCACAGTTATGGTCCACACAGTCAAAGGCTTTAGTGTAGTCAATGAAAAAAAAGTGGATGTTTTTCTGGAATTCCCTTCCTTTCTCTATGATCCTGCAAATGTTCCCAATTTGATCTCTGGTTCCTCTGACTTTTCTAAACAGAATTCTAATTTTTGCTCAGGAATCTACTTCTCAGAGAAGATGATCCTAACCCCATTTTAAGGACTTATCTGTATTAGCTGAAACCAGTTATGGTAATATCGTTCCTTTTGCTTGTGATTGGGTTAAGGGTGGACATGTGGCGTCTTGACCAACAAAACATGAAGGAGGTCTGCTGAGGGAGCAGGGAAGAAGCTTTGGTAAAAACTTTTCATATACTTAAGAAAGACACACGGGAGTACTTTATCTCTTCTCTTCCTCTGAATATTGTCAGGGAAAAGTACCTTAGTTGTTCCGTTGCTCCCTTTTTGATGCTTTTCAGTTTCCTTTAAAAAAATACGATCTTAGGATATTTTCCTTACTATCTGGTCAGCTCTTTGCTGATTTTAAAATGTTGAAAAAAAATCTTATTCAGCAATCTAAAAAAATTTTTTTGTCAGAGTAATGTCATTACCAAAAACAGGTTTCACATTTGTTTCTAAAATGAACTAAGATTGACTTAATTAAAGAATTTTATACATACTATTTATAGTCTTTTTTATTGTTTTTTTTAAAGTTTATATTTACAATGCTGCAGGTGTACAGCAAAGTGATTCAGTTGTATCTATCTATATATATATTCTTCAGATTCTTTTTCATTATTGGTTATTACAAGATATTGAATATAGTCAAGATATTGAATATAGGTCCTTCAAACCAAAAATAGACTCAACAGACATAGAAAAAAAACCTTAAGGTTAGCAAAAGAAGAAGGGAGAAGGTTAAATTAGGAATTTGGGAATAACAAATACAATCTTCTTTATAATAATTAGTTTTCTACTGCAAAGCCAGACTAGCTTTGTGCTGTTTAATACAGCTGTCACTCGCCACATTAAATTAAGTAAAGATTCTGTTCTTCTGTTGCACTAGATGAATTTCAAGTGCTCAACAGCTAATCTGACTATGCACTAGACAGTGCATATATAGAATGTTTCCATCATTGAGGACCATTCTCTTGGGACAGTGCTGGGCTAGATTATGTGTCTAGAAAGTTTAAATTTTCAATTAGATTAAATTTTAAAAGGCTCCAGCTTGCACAATTTATGCTCAGATAGCTTTATTAACTTGGATAGCATGAAAATAAATTTTGGTGTGGTAATTGTCTCAAATTCTGAACTAGCAGAGACAAGATTAAAGAAAAAACATTATTTGTATATCCATTTTATATATATATATCTCTTAAATATATCTCCTTAACATTTGATGAAAGCTGAAACAGAAGACAAAGATACTAATAGAAATGTCAAGTGACCAACAGCAAGCTTTATAAAAACTCTGAGCATATAAAATGTGGGTAAAAATAAAACAAGCTTGGCATGTGTGTCTGGTTCATCTTTATCTGTTTTTTTATTACCTACCATACATTATTCATATTATATAGCACTTGTGTTATTCGGCCCAAAATGTGGGCCCACCTCTACAACTATATAATAGAAATAGATGGGGACTGAGAGGTGGTTGGGCTTTCACACTCCTAGGTAACACAGTCTAATATACAGTAGGACTCCCTTCTTCTCATGCATAAAACCTCTATTTTCCGAGATTTATGTTATTCATCCAAATCACTATTTGGTTTCATCATTGCTTTTTACTAACCTCATGATGACCACTTCCCATCATTGGTTAAAGAGCTTCATACCTACTTCACAGTTTCACTATATGCTCCAAGTCCTAACGTCACCCACATGGAAGACTCCCCAAACTCCCTACCCTTAACAATCCTTGAACTCTTTGACCTCCATTCAACATTGGGCGAGCACTCCCATGACCACACTCTAGATCTGACCTCAATGAGAACAGTATCACTTCTCACATCTTAAATTCAAATGTTAATACATTCCACTCTTGGATCCTGTGACTTGCTATCTCTTTCACCCTGTTTATCCTGCAACCCTGGTTCTTTCATTTTTATGGGTTTTTCAAAGTTAGAGATCTAACTTTCTCCCTGCTAGCCCTCTTTATAGACTCCTTGTCACTCCCTAGTGTGCAGTGCATGACTCACCAGTATCCTGAAATTCTTCTTGACTTGTTTGCTGTTCTGTTGCAGTCTCACCTTTCTCTAACCCATTTTCATCTAAAGCATAAATCTGAGGCTAAATTTTAACCTACACACTTTGCACTTAATTTTATTTGTGCCTAGAAAGCTCTCAATGTGTCTTACTTCTTTTCTTTTCCAATTTGCCCTTCAGGTCTTTAGCTTCCTACGAGAAGAAATCCTTAACTCCCTAATTAGGCTATGTGCCAATTCCACATGTTTTTATAGCATTCCATACTTATTTTATCATATCACTTTTCACCCTGCCTTGTGATTTTCTGTGACTTCCTAAGAAATTATAAAATCCTTGAAGGCATAGACTCTCTCACTCCAGCATAGTCTGATAAAAGTAGGCACTCAATTACTTGTTAATTAATGCTGGAAATTTAATATAATCATTGTAATTGAAGCTACATCTAATTATTAAATTGAATCTACATGTATTATTAAAAATAAGTTTAATAGAACTAAATATCATAAGCTATAAATACGAGTGTGTTAGCAATAATATGAGGAGAAATAGAGTAGGGTAAGGAAGATTAGGAATCCCAGGGTTGTAGGGAGAAGGGAGGGTTGCAATTTTAAATGAATTAGGCCTCACTGAGAAGATGATCAGTTGAGTAAAGGTGAGGTAAGGGAGTCAGTGGTGTAGATATCTGGGTTGGAAGAGTATATAAGGCAAAGAGAACAGCTAGTGCAAAAGTCCTAAGGTGGGAGCATGCCTGGCATGTACAAGGAGGGAGACCGTGTGCCTGCAGCAGGGTGAATAAGGAGGAAAACAGTAAAAGATGAGTTCAGAGAAGTAACAGAAGCCCAGATTGTGCAGGCCTTGCAGACATCTGTATGAGTTTGGATTTCAGTAAAACAGAGAGCCATTGAAAGGTGTTGGGTAAAATACACCGAAACTCTGCCTCTTATATTGAGCACTGTAGGGAGCAATAGTAATATCAGGAAATTCACTGAAAAAGCTATTTAGAATAACCCAGGGAAAGATGGGGGACAACTTCCCTGACGGTTCAGTGGTAAAAAATCCACCTGTAATGCAGGAGACACAGGAAACACAGAAGAGCATATGAATGAGGAATAGTGTAGGAGTGTGGGTAATAGTCTCATGATACGATAACAAATTAAAAGCTGTGATTTTTAGATAGGAGAAAGGAAAAACTATTTGGAAGGAGTAATAAGATATAATGACTGGGTATGGGCCTCCCTGGTGGCACAGTGGGAAAGAATTCGCCTTCAATGCAGGAGATGCAACAGACGCAGGTTTGATCCCTGGTTGGGGAAGATCCCCTGGAGCAGGAAATGGAAACCCACTCCAGTATTCTTGCCTGGAGAATCCCATGGACAGAGGAGCCTGGTGGGCTACAGTCCATGGGGTCACAGAGAGCCGGACATGACTGAGCAACTAACACACACTAATAAGATATAAAAAAGACAGTCAATTCACTTCCAGGCCCAATCAATCATGGGCTGGGGAGAAAACACAAGTCCTTAATTTTAGAGGCCTGCAAAGGAAGCAGTATCTTGAGAGGAAAGCCAGTTTCCATTAGAACAAGAAGGTAAAATGAAAGAAAATTCAGAGACTTCAAGATATAAGGGATTTTGCTGATGATGAATCACGAGTTTCTGGGGGCACAGAGGAGTTCCAGTGGTTGGGAAGGTATAGGTAACAGCAGGGATATGCAAAGATTTATGGAATTGAATGGAAAGAGACAAGGAATGATGTGGAAGTCTGGGACTTCTTGAAGTGGCAAGCGTAAAATGGAATAAAGGCCATACTAAGATTAATCCTTATTTCTTGAACTCAAGAAAGATAATGGTGGCAAGGTTATGAGTAATGAGGGGCTAGAAGTTCAGGGGGTGTGTGTCTGTCTCTTGATTCCTTTTCAGGACAGCATATTTGCTCCTAGTGCTGGAGCTTCCTCTTGACTCTTGTCCATGGAATTAATGGACCTAAAAGGCTGGTTCCATCCAATTTCCAAAATTCATGTGACCCTCACACACATGGATTTCTGATCAAACTAGTTCTCAGTTTAAAAAGTTTCCCTGCTCTAGGGGAAATGTAAGCTAACTTTTCATACCAAAATTTGGTTTTACTTACATCTGTGTTGCAGGAGCGATACCGTTTCCTTTCCCCAAGGCAATATTTTCCACCTCCTGAAGGTCTGAAAACACATTTTGTTTAACATATGAATGTAATATATCTAACCACATAAAGATTACATAAATTGCTTGATGAAAACATATTGACATTTAAGAAAATAAAAAATTTGACATTTTATTAGTTATTAAAATAATAATCATTGTGATAACAATAATGATTATGATTGTTAAACAAAAATTAAGACAATTTACTATGAGTAATTTTATAAGTAATTTTATTAGGCTTTTAATTGTGATGATATATACATTCTTAAGAAAATGTGATTAAATCAATGTACTTTCTAATTAATATAGTAAACAGGTATTCAGTTCAACATAATGAGTTTAAAAATCATTTATAATGAAAAGCCATTTGAATCATATTCAACAAAACACATAATCTGATACTATATGTTTATAAAGTAGGAAGTGGAAAGTTTGTTTTTATAGACTAGAAATAAGGAGAAGACACTAAATAACTCTCTGGAAATAGCTTGAGTTCAGAGTATATAATGCAGAAATAAATCTCTATCTCATTTCAAATATTATATAAAGTTTAAAAGAATTAAATCTTAACATCAGATAGGCTTGTATTATATAGATACTTTATAGTACACTCAATTAGGGTGTTAAATACTTGTTTAATTAATTAATAAATTAATTAAATTAATTTCTGGAGTATTTAACATTAGAGAAAGTCATATGCTATTATTTTGGCATGTAATATTTGAATGGAAAAAACTAACTTCTTGTTTCAAAAGTGGTCCAAGTCATTCTCTTAAGTATTTCGGTATATTGTTTACTACCATAGGGTTTTATACTTTTGGTTATTAAATTACAGTAGCTTGGAGCTGAACTTCATTATTCTGCACTTGTTTTGAAAAGATCAAGTCTCAATTATAATTTTGGTTCACTGATAACTATTATCAATTTATTACATTATCAATTATCTCATTGATATTAATTACAAATGAGATAATTAAAGTTATACTTTGAATATATTTTGAATGACAGTGAATGCTGACTTTAAACAAGGGGAAAAAAATGGCCCAGTTTGAGCCAGGATGGGAGAAATGGGTTGGTCAGACAAAAACAAGGTAGTGGGAATAGTGGTGGCACTGTTGTTTTATGAGTGGGTGACAGTGAGCTCTGTTTAACAGAATGAAAAAACAGAAGTAATACAAAGGGAAACGATTTCAAACTAAAAAAGAAGAAAAGAGAAGACACATTTAGAGGGAGGAACCAAAGACAGGGATACTAAGTTAAAATGGGAAAAAATAAAAATAGACCATCTTTTACCCCAGTAGGGGGAAAAAGCAGAGGTGATATCATAACATCATTCTGCACCAAATAATTGTCAGCAAGAAGGTCCTTAACCTGAGTTCTAGATAAAAATGGGAGCACTTGACATGAAACAGCTAAGGAGCAGTTTAGTCTCTGGTAGGACACAAAAGACCAACTAGAGAAATCATCCACCTGTAATGGGCACTGGTGGGAGGGAGAAGCAATACAGCTTAGCAAGGAATACGGATGGGCTGGCTTTATGCCAGGGGGACTCTGGCTAGAGAAAGAGTGGTGGGAGAGGAGCAGTCTGACCTGCATAAAACAGTCATGAGGAGAAAAGTGGTGGCAGTTCCGGAAGATGATTAATGGGGGCATGTGAATGGAAACTATTTTAACACATGGGCAGTATTCTTTTCATTGTGATTTGTGATGCGAATCAAGGCATTTCAACCCTTGAAGTGCTCTCATTGGTCTTTTTAATACTAATGTAGCAGTAATAATTTTATGTGACATGTGAAAAGACCTTAGGTTTCCTGGGAATAATGGTAATGTAGCTAAGACCAGAACTGGTTTCATCCATAATTCAGTAGTTTTTGGAGGAGGAAATCTATCTGATTATTACTAGATTAAAAGTCTGGCTATACCTGGGATAGATACACAATGCTTTTCTTTTTTTTTAGTTACACAGTAAGGTGAAAAGAAGAAAAAGAAAGTCTGTCTAACAAGGCTCCTGCACTTTCCTGTGCCTATTGCTTGTTCTGAAGACAAGCACTTGGCTCACTGGCGAAACGTTTTTACAGATAACATGTGAAACCACAGCTTTGAATCATTTCCAACTGTGTCTTTTTGTTGGCTCCGGCTTACTTTAGCTACTTACGCTGGACTGTCACAGTGTCTTAGGGATGAGGAGACGCCTCCCCCGCAGGTCCTGCTGCACTCTCCCCATAGTGACCAGGGACCCCAGCCCCCATCTATGCTCTGGGGCCAAGTGCCAAAAGGAACACAATCTCCCTGATAACACCACTGCAAGATTTCACAGAAAACACAGAATTAGCTTTTAGGCAGACAGGGCTACCAGGATAGAAATAAATACATAAGGGTCAGGCACTGACCAATTATAGGCATTAGCATTCTCCCAATAGATAACAGACTGAGAGTTCTTTAACTGTGTTTAGACATTGGTAAAGGTGCATGTGATCTGCAAATTATCTTTAGCTAAGCAATGATTTATAAATCTCTAACAAATACCAGGCATCTAAAAAACTTGACTTTACTTCTTTTTTTCCTTCTTTCTCCTCCTCCAGACTTTTGGTGTTTTCTCATTATAGAGACCTCAAAAGTCTTTTTTAGATATTTTAGTATTATAACATTTTTTTCTTTATATTCCACTATTATTAGACTCATGGAATGATAACGCAATATGGAAAGTTCCCCAGTAAGGAATTTTTATGATGGCAATTGCTTTCTCTTAAAAAAAAAAAAAAAAAGCCGATTGAGGCTACAATAGTAAAAGAATGTGTTGTGGCATTTCATCTACATGAGTACTGCAGACATAATAAAAGTAATGCCAAGACACTAGGGACAGGATACAAAAAACCCCTTATATACACTGACTAGCCATGTGTATAGCCCTTACATGAACATGTGAACTGGAATTCTCAGCTTTACTGCAATAAACCACACATACTGTACATAAGTAGAAAGCCAGGAATAATTTATCGAGATGCAGACATCGCATAATCAGCTCATAACTCTAACATGATAAATCTTATTTGCAGAATATGGTAAAAATGAAAGCCGTTTTTAAATAAACCAAGCACTATGCAAGGCTTTTATTAGCGCATTTTTTCTGAGTTATCAAAATTTGATGAACCATGCTGACGCTTGGAGAAGGAAATAGCAACCCACTCCAGTATTCTTACCTGGAGAATCCCATGGACAGAGGAGCCTGGTGGGCTACTGTTCATGGGGTCACAAAGAGTCGGACACAAGTGAGTGACTAAGCAGCATGCTGATGATATGAGAGTTCTTTGCTTATATGGTGAATAACAATAGTGAACATTATCAGAGTTGAGTAACTGTCAGCAATGTTAGACTGTTAAATAAAAATTCAACTTTATATTAAAATGTAAAGGGTTTATGACATGTGATGTTTTAAAAGTAATCAATTTATTAATTAATTCCATATATCCAGAATTCTTTCACTTTCACCATTTGTACTGCTATCACTCTAGACCAAACTGGCAAACGGAATAGCTTGTTATCTGGTCCCCCTGCCTCACTTTCTTCTATCTGTAATTGACCTATTCTCCAGGGAGCTATCAGAGAACTCTTTTAAAACATACTATGGTATCATGTTACTCTTTTCCTCAAAAGACTGTAATGGTTTCCTCTTCCCCAAGGTCAACAGTGACTTTTGTGACCTCGCCCCTGCCTCTCTCTCCAGCCTTATTCTCTTTCCGGTACAGAATGCTCCAGACACACTGGCTTTCTTTCTGTTCCTCAATACACTAAACTTGTTCTCTGCTCAGGGTACTTGGATTTGCTGGTCCTCCCAGAAATACTCTTCTAATTCCTTCTATTGTAGTCTTCTCCTCATTTGGTCTCAGGTCAAGTGTCATTCAAAGAGGGGGCCATCTTTCCCTGACCACTCTTACTATGAAGGGTCTGTACCTCACTACCCCTGCGGCCCTCCCCTCCTCCTACTCCAGCATGTACAGAGATTACATCTTCCTGTTTTAGTCCCCTTTACCACTCATTTAAATTATCCATGGCAGAAGATGAAATGGGTTAGATAACATCACTGATTCAGTGGACATGAACTTGAGCAAAATCCAGGAGATAGAGAAGGACAGGGAAGCATGGCATGCTACAGCCCACGGAGTTACAAAGAGTCAGACATGACTTAGCCACTGAACAGGAATAACTTATTCTTCAAATTATATTTTATTACTTTTATTGTCTACTCTCTTTAGTATACAAAAGCCTTAAGAGCCACATGCGGCTATTCAAATTTAAATTAATTAAAATTGAAAATTCTGTTCCTGAGACCCCTTCTAGGATTCCATAGCCACATGTGTCTAGTGGCTATGATACTTGACAGAGTAGACACAGAACATTTCTGTCATCACAGAATGTTCTAATTGAAATTGCTGAATGTCTAGAATAGTGCCCAGAATGTAGTGGATATTTAACAAAGCTTTATTGAATGAATGAATACATTAATTAAATTATTGAATTCTGTGTCCCATTTTGGTTACTATATTTCAAGAAGGAACTGGAGATACTGGAGAGTAAAGAAAGTCAAATTCATCTTTTCGTCCTTGGTAGTTGGCATTCAGAGAATGTTTCAGTAGTTGTAACAACATAAGGACTTTTTAAGAAAAGTGCAAAGGAATTATCATTTGTCCATAAAAAATTAGGCAAGAGGAAGTTAAAATTTGGTTGACTATATAGGGCCAAACATTCTGATCCTAAATCGAATAAATGTTAAAGTAGTGCATTAAAAAAGATAATGAGTTTTGGGCAATTAAAAAGTATTATGAAGAGAAAAAAAACATCTGTCTAAAATGATGTAGCAGAGGTAGTTGGCTGAGCCGATAATACAGCACCAACTCTGGAAGCAGGGCCGCTCATTATGTACATGTGAGAGGGAGAATGTTCAAGGTGCCAGCTTGTGATTTACCTAATTGATCTTGAAGACCAACCAGTTTGTATAATGGTATATCAATTGTGTTAGATCTTCATCTATATAAAAATCATAACAGTGAACCAAATATCCTCTGGTTTTATATTTTTGGTATTACAAATGTTATTACAAGTAGCTACGTGTAAAAATATTTATGCCTCACCTGTTTTCCTATGAGAGTAACTGAGTAATGTAGTATTAATCAGCAATTACTGTTTTTCCCCCCTGTGGTCTGGAAGGACTGATGTTGAAACTGAAACTCCAATACTTTGGCTACCTGATGCGAATACCTGACTCATTTGAAAAGACCCTGATACTGGGACTGATTGAAGGCGGCAGGAGAAGGGGATGAAAGAGGATGAGTTGGGTGGATGACATCACCGACTCAATGGACATGAGCTTGAGTAAGCTCCGGGAGTTCGTGATGGACAGGGAAGTCTGGTGTACTGCAGTCCATGGGGTCGCAAAGAGTCAGACACGGCAGAGTGACTGAACTGACTGAACACTTAAAAATTCCAAATATTAAAATTTGCATATTTTTTAAGTCGGAAACTTAGCGTTACTGATTTCAAATAAGAATAAAATTTGATTTTACATTTATCTTATATAATCACAGAGCTGCACTTAAAGCTCAAAGAGACTTTAAAATTTATGTGGTCTAAGCACTTCATTTTTTCATATGAGGCAACTAGAATCTAAGAAGGTTGACCTGCCCAAGATCACTTACTGAGAGAAAAGCATTTGCTGTCCAAATACACATAAAAAATGTGGGGAAAAATCAAGTGGAGGTGTAGGACTATATATCTGAAGACATTAAAGAATATGCTAATATACTTTATCAAACTGTTTTTACTACATAAAATACAAAATAACACTAGAGAGTTTTTAAAAATTCAATTAGCTGCAAGTATATATATATATGTTTTTTCATATCTCCTTGAACAGTCTTATAATTAGTAGAGGAAAAAATTCCACTTTGTGCATTTTTTAGGGCATGAAATTGTGAAGGCCACAAAAACACTGAAAGATGTTAGGTTCTAAAATATTAAATGTTTTTTCACATGTTTTCTAGATGCTCACAAAATACAGCACGGGGAAAGAAATCACATAAAGTCTCTTGTTTTCCTTTTAAAATGTATACTTAAGGTACAAGATAAATACAAATATTCAGTTTGTAAAATGTTGCTCAGTTTTTACCATTAATTAATATATACACAGCAGAAGTATTCTGTAAGTGGTTTGCTAAAACCTTTTATCGTGAAAATTCATGCTATTGATTATATCTATTCTACAGTCATAACATAATAGACAATTATATCATAAAGTTAAATAACATAAATTAATGGGTAAAAGAATGAAGAATTCATAATAATAAGTATCAGCGATTTAGCAGTTGACAAGAGACTAGTGTCTAGTTTAATAATTAATTAACAACTTAGTCTTCAGTCAGTGTGTTGATTTTAGTCCCTCAGTCGGGTCAGATTCTTTGCCACCCCATGGACTATAGCCCACCAGGCTCCTCTGTCCATGGGGATTCTCCATGGCAAGAATACTGGAGTGGGTTGCCAAGATCCAGGGGATCTTCCCAACCCAGGGATCAAACCCAGGTCTCCCACACTGCAGGCAGATTCTTTACCATCTGAGCCTCCAGGGAAGCCCACCAGGGAAAAGTCTGTGTGGAGCCTGTTACAAGCTTCAGTTCTCATTTTAGCAGCATCCTTCTTCGGTCCAAAGCAAGTCCTTTGTTTCTTTTCTTTAATTTCCCTAACTACAAAATGGGGATTAATTCCAGTTTTTGATTATAATATGGTTTGGATTAGGATGACTATGGAAATTAGTTCTATACAGACATACCTTCAAAGAAGTTAAAAATCTATCAAATGACTTGTTTAGGTTTGCTCTCTGGCAAAATGTTCTTTTGTGCTTGTTTACTTTCCTCTTAACCTTGTGTTTACAGGAAAGGATCTCTGGAATTTTTGCTACCTCTCCTGGTAGTATTATGTATCTTAATGTAGTACATGATTTTAAGAGAAGAAACTCATTTAACTTAATAAGTTTTTTAAGAAACCTATAGGGAACTACATGTGGATCAAGTTATTTGAGCTAATTTTCTAGATGACGATATTAATCAATCTATACTAAGATTTTAATGTAAGTCATAATTAATATAATTAGATTATACCAAATAAACTTTAAGTACACAAATCCTATAAGCACACTAAAGGTGAGAATTCTGAGATTTGTATTTTCTATTTTTATCCTTTTTTAACCTGAAGATGCCCAAACTGTAAAAGTTCTATTTCCACAGGCATAGAGTTTTACTTCATTTCTTAAA